TCTGTCTGTCCGTCAGTTTCGGGGTGGTATGATGAGCTGAACTGTAGTCGCGTGCCAAACTGCTGCCACAGGTTTCGCCAGAAGTTGCTGGTGAATTTCGTGTCGCGGTCGCTGATGATTGCTGCTGGTATCCCGTGCAGTCGTACGACGGTGGCGATGAAGAGGCGGGCTGTTTCTTCGGCTGTGATCGATTTCTTGCAGGCTGCGAAGTGCGCCATTTTCGTCAGTCGATCGACGACGACCATGATCGCGTCGTTCCCACTCGCTCCGGCTGGTAACTCCGTGACAAAGTCCATCGTCACCTGCTGCCACGCACGCTCTGGGGGTGGTATCGGCTGCAACTGTCCTGCCGGCCGCTTCCGTGATGACTTCATGAGCTGGCAAGTGGGACACGATGCCACGTGTCGCTGTACGTCGGTCAACATTTCGGGCCAGTAATAATACCGCTGCAGCTGCTGCCGTGTTTTTTCTACCCCAAAATGTCCCGAGGTAACTCCGTCGTGTGCCTCCTGTAGCAGTAATTCCCGTAGCAGAGTGTACCCTGGTACCCAAATGCGGTCAGTTCCGGTTTTTACGTAATAGACTCCTCGTGCTGTTGCGAACTGCTGCGAATTTCCTCCTGTGAAGAAAGGGTCCGTTTGATACCCGTGGGTGAATAGTCCTGTTAAAAGTGGGCTGGTCTGGGCGAGTAGGATTGCGTGGATGTGGGCAGTGGGGCGGGTCAGTGCGTCAGCGATGTTGGATGCTCCCTTTTTGTAGGTGACCGTGTAGTGAAAATTGGACTCGAGGAAATCGAGCCATCGAATTTGTCGTGGGTTGAGGTGGGGCTGTGCGCGAAGGTACTGTAGTGATTTGTGATCTGTCCGTACTGTCACGTCTGCGCCGGTCAGGTAGCATCGCCACACTTTGAACGCGTGCACGATCGCGAGCATTTCGCGGTCGTGTATCGGGTAATTCTTCTCGGGTGGGTGCAGTTTTTGTGACTCGTATGCGATGGGCGGTAGGCCGTTGCCGAAATCCTGTAGCAGTACTGCTCCAATGGCGATGTCGCTCGCGTCTGTAACCACTTCGAATGGGCGGTGTGGGTCGGCAATGCGCAGGACGGGCGGTGAACAGAGAACAGTTTTCAGGGCAGAGAAGGCAGCTTGCTCTTTCTCCCCCCACCGAAAAGCGACCCCCTTCCGCAGCAAATCCGTCAGTGGGGCTGTTAAGCGGGCCATGTCGGGGACGAACCGACGGACGTAATTAACAAACCCCAAAAAACTCTGCAGCTCCGTGATGTTTGTGGGGGGTGCCATGCCTTGACTGTATCCAGCTTCCGTGGGTCAATTTCAACCCCAGCCTCCGAAATAATGTGCCCCACTTAGACCCCTTGGTCAGTAACCTATGCTCCTCTAAAATCTTAAACACTGCTTCGAGGTCCGCTAAATGCTGCTGCTTATCGCGACTGTAGACGAGGATGTCGTCGAGGTAAACTATCACGCATTTATCTAAAAGTGGCCTAAACGCCTCGTTCATGGTCATCTGGAATGTTGCAGGTGCGTTGGTCAGCCCGAAAGGCATCACTGTGTACTCGAACGACCCGTACCTAGTCCTAAAAGCTGTCTTGGCGCAGTCCGATGGTTCGACCCGAATCTGATGGTAACCTCCCCGTAGATCTATCTTCAAAAAGACCTGTGCTGTTCGTAGCTGGTCGATGGGATATCGCCATTTAACTGTAACCCTGTTGAGCGCTCGGTAATCGATGCACATGCGAAACCCTCCGTCTTTTTTCGGTGTGAACAGTATCGGTGCGGCGAATGGTGACGAACTCGGTCGGATAAACTGCTTCTCTAACAGGTAATCTAACTGCTTCCTCAGTTCGTCGAGCTCCGGCTGTGTCAGTCTGAACTGGCGCTGTACGGTTGGCTGTGCCCCCGGCTCTAGTTCTATCCTATGATCGTGCGCCCGCTGAGGTGGCAGTCCCTCTGGTAAGTCATCGGGGAATATCCCCGGGTACCGTTTCAACAGCTCCTGTAGTTCGGGCGGTACCGCTGCCAGCAGTTTCTGAAAATCGCTCGGCTGCTCTGCTTCTCCCACTACTGCGATGTCCACTGCGTACACGTCAGCTCCAGCGGCGACTGCCCGTTTCATGGTGATGGCGTTGACGTGGACCGTTGAAGACTCAGGCGACTGCCAGCGTGGTAGTTCGACCCAGTTACCACTACTTCGCACAGTGCAGCTGCCTGTCGTCCAGTCAATTCGCGGGTTATACCGTCGCAGCCAATCACGTCCCAGTAAAATATCGTGCCCATCCAGTGTCGTCGCGAGCATTTCCTGTGTAAACCCGAAGTTCCCCCCGCAGCGAACTTTTACTCTTTCCACCTTTTCCCGTATGGCCAGCGGCGTGCCGTCGACTAAGCGTGCGTCTATCTCAGGTAAGCACCGGCTGAGTGTCAGTTGCAGTTTCCGTGCGGTTGCGGTATTAACTAAGCTATGGCTTGCTCCTCCGTCGATAAAAATCTTCACTGCTGCTCCCTGTATTTTCCCGTAGATCAGTATTGGGCAATCCGTCGCTGTACCCTCCTTATTCATCCGAGCCCGATCGATGGCGTGAATCGGTACTGTGACTCGGTGAGGGTCGGTGCGGTTGGGCGAGCAGGCAGTCTCGTCAGTAGTTGGCCCAACTTCTACTGACTGCTGGCGTTTCCCTGTCTCTGAGACTCCCTCCCCTGCTCTGCTCCGCGGCGCCTCAGCTCCTCTGGACACTCACTCTTACGATGGCCCGGCCTGTTGCAAGCAAAGCAGCGCCCCTTAAATGGCGCGGCAGCTGCATTCGTTGCAACGGCGTGTACGGTGGCGTGCTCGATCGGTCCCCGAGGACGATGTCCGTAGTAGGACCCCGGTCTCGGTCGGCGCAAAATGTCGATTTTCTCGGCGAGCGCGAGAATCTCGTTGAAGTTCGAGAGCCCGCGTAGCATGATTTCCTGCGAGATTTCCGGCTTCAGCCCTCCGACGTAACGGTCCACCCGCTCCGCTTCGTGCATATAACCGACTTGCTCGCATAATGCGAGAAAACCGCTCGTGTAGTCTTGAACCGATCCGAGCTGCCGCCAAGTGCGCAGTTTCTGACGCGCCGAAATAGAAGCCGCGATCGGCTCGAAGCGCGCCCGAAGCCCTACGCACCACGCATCCCACGTGCTGTACTGGGCGGTTTCGCAGAACGAACTCCAGGTGACTGCTGGACCCGCGGGCCCTTCCTCTTGCGACGGTGGCTCGTAGGCGCGTGGCGACGTCACGATGACTCGCCACCAGTCCATAGCGGGGCCCCTCAGCAGCGAAACGGCGTATCGGATCTTCGCTGCGTCCGACTCGACGTAGTTTGCGTCGAAAAAGACGTTCATCGTGAAGATCCACGATTGAACCGTCGGACCTCCACGCTGGCTCGGGTCGAAACAGGGCGGCCGTTGCGGCTTGAGTGGCATTGGCGCCATGATTGCCTGATTCGTCACCACTTGTTGCCGCAAACTCCACGTGCCGACGGGCTTCGCGAGGCTCCTGAGAGCTTGGCGCGGCCCGGTTTCTTCCCACGCCAGGCATTGGTTGGGCGGCGCAATCACTGGCTGCTCCCGAGCGCTGTCCCACGCTGTCGTGCTGTGTTGGTGTGCCGGACGAAATGACGATCGGCTCCTCCGACGGTGCAGGTACATTTTGTGGTGCTGGGTTGCTCGCCGTGGCTTGCTGACGCGCGGAGTCACGTTCCGCCGTGACCGTCGCGATTTCGAGTGCCGATTCTTCAACTTGGCGCACCAGGCGGTCGAGCTGCTCCTGCGTCAGAGTCGCGAGATTGAATTCGGCCATGGCGGGGGTGTCGGGCGAGCTCAGCGAGAGCCTCTGTCGTGGCCGTGCGTGCTTACGAGAGAGCACTACGAGCGGCGGTGCTGTGTCGCTGAGAGACGTCTACCCCCCCCAAAAATTGAGATAGTGGGGAAGCGAAGGTGTGGATGCGGTCCGAGAAGAGATCGTAGGCTCTGAATACCAAGTGTTACGAGTGCAATTGAGTGAGCGAACGAAGATTGCACTATCGAAGCAAGAGTACAATGAGCGAAGGCATGAGCGAAGGATTATATAGCGAAACTACAGTGGTAACGGTAATGTGTGAAAATGGGGTGCGCGACGGGCCTAGCGCCGAGGTTGGGAATTGTCGAGGCGGAGGTCCGGAGCGCGGGTTACCAACCGAGCCGTGAGGTTGGGTCGCGTCGTGAACAGTGGCGGGAACAGTACCGAGGCGAGTGTCGCGAGTGGTAACGGATTACTGTTGGGTGCTGTTGGCGGGAACAGTGCTGTACGCGCTGAGCAGGGACGCGAAGTAAGGAAAAGGAATTTTCCTTACACATATCCACCCACCTGGCCCTGGCATATCAGGTTGGAACACAGCTTTAATTTCCGATTCACTCCTATTAAACCCTCGCACAATCTGGGTAAATCGCAAAAAAGGATACCAGGACAGATTATGAGACTTCATTTTTGGATTTAGTTGAATTAGGGTACATTCCGCTGTGGACATGTCCCAATCGCAAGTGTCTCAATCGTTTCCACCGCACGGCAACGTATTACAACCAGATTACACCATAGTTTCGAAATTTTCGCGTCTCTGGTTTAGTTCGGTTCGGAGCGGTACACTCGATTGGGACACATCGATTGGGACATGTGTCCACAGCGGAATGTACCCCTTAGTTTCCAACCTTTTTGCGTTGGCTAATCTGTACACAAACAAGCTTGCTGGAGCAACGAGTACAATGTGTACCACACAAGCTGATCAGGGTTGATTGTCACTTGCATGCAACCGTTCAGTTATGTTAGTCTCCTGTCCTTGCATTGCCACATCTCCCCTGCTGCTGCAGCTGCTGCTGCCGCCGCTGCCGCCTCCACTGCCACCGCTGCCGCCTCCGCTGCCGCTGCTGCTGTTGCTGCTGCTGGTGGTGGTGGCAGTCGTGGTGGTGGAGTCACATCACATCACATCACATGAGGCCAAGGGCAGATAGCTCTTGCACCAAGTCCGGAGGCAGGGGCTTGGGCTCAGCGCATCTGCTCAAGTCCACCACCACAAATTCCTGCCACACGGGGAGAGAGAGAGAGAGAGAGAGAGAGAGAGAGAGAGAGAGAGAGAGAGAGAGAGAGAGAGAGAGAGAGAGAGAGAGAGAGAGTGAGAGAGAAGAGAGAGCGAGAGAGAGAGAGAGAGAGAGAGAGAGCGAGAGAGAGAGAGAGGGAGGCCCCATGTGGGTGGAGTGGAGCGAGCAGCGTGTGAGGGAGGGTTGAAGGACGACGGTGAGAGGGAAGAGTGAGGGAGGTAGACGGGTTAAGGGGAGACGAGCGAGTGGGGGCGAAGTGGGAAAGAAGGGTGGCGTGGGGGGAGGCATGGAGGAAAAGAAGAGGAGGAAGGAACAGGGGCAGGATGTACAGGGAGGGACTGGATTACACCTTGGTGAGCTGGCCTCTGTGCAAGAAGCGAAGGGACGGGAAGAAAAGAGGTGTGGGGGAGAGTAGAAGGGGCGGAAGAGGCGCAAGGAGGGCAGGGGTGTAACTTGGCGTGCCGGTCACCGTGCAAGGCGCCAAGGGCGAAAGACGTGCAGCGGCGTACCTTGGTAAGTTGGCCTCTGTGCAAGACGTGCGCGTGCCTCTCTGTGATGCAGTCACTGCAGAGCACAGCCATGAGTGCACTGTACACGACGCCTAGCAGTGCAAGCAGGGACGCTGCGAGCGAGGGAGGCGAGGAAGGCAGGGATGGGGAGCAAGGGTGTGAGAGAGAGGGGACGTTGGGGAGCAAGGGTGTGAGACAGGAGAGCAAATGTATCGCTGCAGAACACAGCCATGCGCACACTGTACATGAGGCAGGGGCGATGGAGGGAGGGAGGGAGGGAGGGAGGGAGGGAGGGAGGGAGGGAGGGAGGGAGGGAGGGACACAAGGAGGGACGGAGCAGGACGGCGAAATGGGGACAGAAAGAGAGAAAGCAAGGGAGCTTTTGCAGGGCACAGCCATGGCCTTGAGGCACAGCCATGGCCTTGTGAGTGCCAGCCAGCAGAAACGGTGGGAGTGAGGGCCATGGGGAGGGCCGGCACTGGGGAGGTAAGGGATCAGAAAGGGAGAGAGAGGGGAAGCAAGAAAAAAAGAGAGTTTCTGCAACGCATGGCCACGTGCACCATGCACACGAGCCCTAGTAGTACCAGCAGTGATGCTGGGAGGAGGGCGGGATGGACAGGGAGGGTGGAAAGGCGAAGGGGAGAAGGGGAAAAGCAGCGAGGTCAGAGAGGAAAGAGTGGAAAAGGAAGAGAGCATGGGAGTCACTGTGTAAAACGAAACGAGGGCGAAGGTACGAGCTTTCAGCAGTTCAAGAGAACGCGGAGGGACGCCGCCACATAAACATGTATAATTACATATTATAGCTCATAAGTATACATAGAAACATACACACACATACACGCATAATTATGCATGCACACACATATTCGGAAATGACGTACACATAGGCACACATACACACATACACACATACATGCATACATGCATATCTACGGTGCACACGAATTCATGCACATAAAGCTCGCGTAATGATACTACGACCGGAGGCCGTGGAGGAAGGCAGGGGCTGACCAGCAAAGGAGAAGAACTCGTGGGGCGGTCCTGCCCCACCAGCTGCCCTCGCAACCCGGCACAAAGGCACAGGCAGGCACAGGCACAGGCCCAGGCACAGGCACAGGCACAGCACAGGCGCAGGCACCAATGGTGGATGCGACAGAGGTTGGGTTTGTGAAGTGAGGGGATGGAGGAGTGGTAGGAGGAGGAAGGGAGGAAGGGTGGGGCGAAGAAGGAGAGGGAGGAATGAGAACACGGGAAGGAGATGAAAGCGTGAGCGAGAAAATGAGAGTGCGTGAGCGAGCATGAGAGCACGAGAGCGAGCAGGAGAGCGAGATCACAACAGCACGTACCAGGAGCACGAGCGTGACGAGTGCTGCATGGTCCCTCAGCAGCACCGCCCTGAACCGCAGTCGGTGCCAGGAGCGATCGCGGGCAAGTGCGGGCGCAGGAGAAGGGTGCCCGACACTCAGAGCAGCGTGAGAAGGCTGTGAACCTTGCTGTTATGTGTGGTGGCGGAGGTGGGGAGAGAGGGGCAGCATGGGAGAGGGCGGCGGGGCATGGGAACGGGGAGGGGCAGGGGCAGGGGCAGGGGCAGGGGAAGAGGCAGGGCAGGGGGAAGGGGAGACAGGGGAGGGAAGAGGCATGGGCGGGGTGTGAGGACGGGGAGCCGCACTGTGATGGGTGGTGGGCGAGGGTGGAGAGAGAGAGATGGCAGGCGAGGATATGGAAGGAGGTGCATGGGCAGGGGAAGACGGACGCAAGAGGGGAGAATGAAATCGCTGATAGAGAGATGGGGCGGCGGAATGACAGGGTAGGGTAGGAGGGAGAGCAGTGGGGTAAGGAGGGAACGCGGGCGAACGACAGCAGGCACGCAGCAAGGGGATGCTGGACGGCACGAGTCACAATGGACAGTGGAAGGCATCCCACACCAGACTGCACAACTCACTACTACCGCACCCCACCGCAGAGCACCTTGGCAGCCCTCCAAGCGTCGAGG